TCCAAAATGTCCTTTGGTTAATCCTTTATCATTACCTTACTTTAATTTTAATACCTTACATTAGTTTAAGTGTAGTGTTTTAACATGTTAAAGGAAATAACTAAAGCAGTTTCAAGCAATTATTTGTGTTGGGCCCCCCAAAAAGAAACTATAAAAATATAATGCCAGAACTCCAAATCTATTCTTTTGTGTTTGTACAGTATGTTTTTTAACACATCACAACAGTTATTAAATGACATACCGTATATACTATAAGTGGCTGTTGTGTCATTCTAATGCATCTTACTGATAGCATCATTTAGAACAAAATTTAAAAACTTCCTACATTTACAGTTAAGATATTTATTAAGTTTGCTTTTTCATGTCATTTTGACAAACCTGTTTTTGAACAAAAGAGCTCATCTGCCTCTGTTCTCTATGAACACCTTTGCTCAGATGCAGTTTATGGCTCTTTTGGCAAAACAGCCTTTTCTAATACAGTATGTACTGTAAGTCTGTCATTTCCTCAAAGACCTTTAACAAAACTTCATCATAGTTTATTTTTGTTATCTATCTTCAAAGTGCAAATGTGCAATTAATCTATTAAACCTCTATCAACTTCCCAATCAAAACAGCACTTGCTTCACTTGCTTCATGTAACAAGCTGCATAAAACAGAAATAGTTCCTAAAATTCCATAGGTTTTTAATTACCAGAACAGTCTCAGCACCTGTCAGTTTTATGACTCTGTTCTATAGTGCAGTGTAATAGTGTTGTATTGCAAACCAGGCTAGTATCTTACCAAACGTAGCTACCCGCACTGTACCCTGCATTGCATTTCTAAAACACTGTGTAACTTACTGAAATCCATATTTGAATATTGTTATATTATGTTTAATTCTGTCTGCAGCTGGTAAATTGTTAAATCCTTTTTCTTCGTTTTGCACTCTGTAACATACTGGTTTTGATATACTACTTTGTGCCAATTTACCAACAGTAAATGCTATGAAATGGTATTATTAAGTGTAATGTTTAATAGTGCTAATTAATATATAATAGCAACAATAATAATAACTACAATACCAAGTGGATTTATACACAGTACAATTAAACATTTTGCACCACCCAGACCTCTCCCTGAAGCACCTACACTCCCTCAAATGATAGAATCTATCTAAGGCTGCGAACGTGATATTTAAAATTAAGAGAATAGAATCACAACACATACAGTATGTTTTTTGTCTAGATGTAGAACTGCACTGAAGCAAAAGTTAAACAAAATTCAAACGAAGACACGTTAAGTTCCACATGTATACTGTGACTCGGCAGCTCTAGACGAGAGGGTATCTATAGCTGGCCATGTTACTTTTTCTCGTGTGCTCAGAGAGAGCCTGATATGTATCAATTTTGTTTGCATTCTGTGAGTGACTTCCCTGCAGGAACAGCTCTTTTATTGAATACTGGGGTCCCACCCTCTGATCTCCAAAAATGACCAGCTTCTGCACTGGCATAGTGGCTCCTCTATACAAGTACAACAGTAAGGAGTAAAAAACAAAATACAGACAACTGTAAGTCATGCACTACAGTCTTTTTATCAACATTTTTTCCCTAAACTGGTGACATTTATTTTGTTTCACTTCAGACGTGCATCCTGTTTCATGCATTTTTTTTTCTTTGATTTTGACGTATGTGCATTTAGTTTCTAAAGCACAGTTTGGAATACGTTAGTTATCACATTTACATTTCTGGACAGCCAATGGCTCAATGCTATTTTCAGCAGTCAACTGCTTCTGTATGTCTGCCTTAGTATTTGGGGGTATTTCTGCTCCTAAAGTGTCCACCTAAGGTGCAGTAAAGGTGTCTCTCTGTGTTCCCGATACAGCAGCCAGAACGTGACGTGTGATCAGTGCTCTTGGGACATGTGGTAGCATTTTACTTTTGTGCAGTTTCTTGAAGATTTGTTCTTCAGTTTAATATTTGTATGTGTTTATATGTACTGAAAAGTGCTAATATTAAAACATAGCAAATGAAATGGTAAAAATTAATGTACGTAAATCTACAAGGCAAATACATATAATGCACATGTATGTATTTATATATACATAAACACAAGGAAAATTATATTTTTGGATTCTTCCTACTGCTAGTTTTAGCTTTTTATGTTTCTGCTTTTTGTTTAGATTTCAATTTTCACCTTTGTTGCATTTCTGGCAGTTTCTATTAATTGCAATTTATGCTGAAGTAGGAGCGGCTCTTTACCTCTAAGTAAGCAGATTTATTTACAAACTAGAAAAATAAATGCTGGAGAATAAAAAAGCTAATTGCAGCAACCTTATCTTCCATTATTTTGTTCACATTTTAAAGTACTTGCTTTTATAATAGGGACCCTCTAGTTTCACAGAAGGTTTGAGACTCCATAAACAAGAAAAATAAAAGTCCAATTTTTCTATTCTACATTTACCTTCCACATATCTTCTTTACTACGATACTATGACTGAATTGCACTTCTAAGGTGTTATTATTACCGGATTTCATAATTATTGTTTTAACTTTATCTGAAAATAGCCATATTTGCAAGTTACTGGCAATATACATTTTAATTTTGAAATGATAAAAAAAAATTCACTGGAAATTACAAGGATGTTATCAATATAAATGCCATGAATGTAATTTTTGAAAACAAGAGCTTTTGTTTGCAGCTGTAGATTACAATGCTAATACAAAATAGTTAATCGTTTTTAGAATGCCTTTCACTGTTTTTTCAAAAACATATTTATGTTCTATACTATCTTTATATGGGACACTAAAGAGAGTGAACAAGCAGGCCTGTTTTACTACAACAAGACTTGCACAGGATTTCACTACAATAGAATAATTACTTAACAGAACAAATTTGTCGGCCTTTCACATCTTAAAAAGCAAGTTGTTTATACCTTAGACACCAAGAAAGTGCTTATTCTGTAAACCCTTATTTCTGTAATCTACCTTCAACCTGCCAAAAGCTAATGTGTCTTTTAGCAGCCCAAGTTCTCTGTCCTGTGTAACTCTCATACACCTAGAAAATCAGAGTCAGTTTCCAGAACACCTGCGTTAAGCACAGCTTTGAAGGTTTCAAACAAGAGGAGGCCCTTGGGCCTATCTAACTCTTTTCCAAGTTAGTATTTAATTGATCCAAGGACCTCATCCTGCTATTTCCTGAAAAGCCAGAGTACCAGCTTCAAAAACTAGGAGTCACCATCACATCTTTAAACACCATCTGAAATCCATGCCAGACTGGTGAAACTGATGCCCCTCAGCACTGTGGTACACTACGGGACTGTTCTTCACAAACATTAAACAGAAGGCCACAAATTAGAGAATTTCTATACTAGACACAGTAAGGTGGCGATGTAGCATCTTAGCTCCATCTGCTTCAGTAACCTAACCATCACTCCATCTCTGAGCCTTGAAATCGTATGGTGGAATTTGCGGAAACCCAATACATCCTTCGAGTCGTTACACTTGTTGCCTACAAACTTGTATTACTTAGTTTTCACATGAAAACATAAATCCTCTGTTGCTGAGGAAATTAATGTCAAAAACTAACTGTCAATATAAATATGCGGGATAAATTGTTGATCCCTGTCTTTGATTTCCTTTTCGTCATTTAAGGGTTTTGTTTACACTGGCCATTAATATGAAATTATAGTCCATCTGGAGCAGACGTAGACTCAGAATGAGAGCTCTTCTATATATATACTTTGGGAGACATAATGTGACTCATCATCTTATCTCATGCTGTAGCTTGTAACACGGTTGAAATTTAGTACTCGTTATTGTGCCTAATCTACGAAACTCCTGTTGTAACGGATACAAGTTAAGTAAGTGAAGACAAAGTAGGAAGAGAAAGAGTATTATTGCCCTATAGCCTACTCCATACACAAATACACGCAGTCTATGCACACTGAAGAAAACACAATTAACAATCTGCACCAACATCTTCCAGTTTCTAACGTCTAAGAAATAACACATTTTCCAACAGCATGTGTGGCTGCTAAACAAATCAGTTTGAGCCCGATTGAATCTCTTTCACACTTGTACTGAAGGCCCACCATTCAATCTCCTGTCCTACTAATGAAACGTTAAGGCTCAAGGCATGTGGGATTTTCTTAGAAACAAAATAAAAAGTCAAAATTCTGCTTTTGAGTGCACATTAAATAAATTAATTAGTCATGTCATGTAAGATAGCTGCTATCCTTTGGAGCATTTTTGCAGAGATTCACAAATTCCAGCCCTAGTTTCCAATGATTACAGCTGAAACTCAGTCTAATTTTACAAGCGAGATAGAAGACTTTCAGCATCTACATGGCCAGTGATTTCACAGGAGCGATTTACCAAAAGCTAAGTTCCAAACTGAAGAAGTTGCCTTGAAACACTCACTGGACTTTTTGGGTGGAAAAAACATTCCAGTTTTGCAAAGTATCTGAGTGGACGAGTAGAAGATAACTTTTGCTATCTTTTCTGAAACGTAATAAGAGCTCATTTACAATTTCATGCTTGCACTTTGAAATGCATACATATATTTTTGACTTACCACTTTAAAACACTGCCACCTTCACAAGAAATCAATCAATTAATCTCTCATTGTCTCCTTCAAATTATAGCACAACTACAAAAGCTTAATTAACTTTGAAGAGTTTCTCTCTGTGTGCTTTCTCTTTGCCAGTTTTTAAGGATTGGCTTTTGGGCTTTTAGCCTTTGGGCTTTAGAACATTGGTTATGTGTAAATCTGTTGGCTTTGATTAGTCTGTGTTAGCCTATGATTGCTGTCCTTAACTTTTGAAAAGCTGTACACACACTGAATGTACAGTACAGGCTTAGTCATTGTATCTCAATTCATCTATGCTTATCTAGATAAACCTGACCAAAGAAATTCGCTTCACTTAAACATTAAAAACAAGGTCTCTTAAAACAGCATTGTCCTTTTTAGTACTTTTGCAACAATGCCTGTCCTTGGAAAAGAACATGAGAGGGAGCACTCACCTGTGTCCTGGAGAAAGCTGTGGATATATAGGATCCTGGAATCCTTTCTGAGTCTTCACCGCTGAACTTCTGGGGAGCTCCGGGGACACCAACCACACGAACAGCAATGCTGTTGTAGCCTAAAGGAAAGTAAGGGTGAAGTGAGAAATCTGAAAACGTGCTTTTCTCGCGAAGAGATTAAGCGATACGTTCGCGAGGAAATGCTGTACTTTTTCGTTTTAAAATAGTTACCCTGAACAGCCCAGAACTGACTCTAAAGTTCGTAAAGTAACACGTTTATCTTCTGCGGGTTAGGGGAACCAGCTACTCACCGGCTGAGGACTAGCGCGTAAAGTCACCCACGCCGTAACAAGTCCTGCACACCTGCACAAAGCGCGTGGAAAGGTGCTACAGCTCGGCGGCTCTAGGGTTAAAAACTTGCTGCTTCAGGTTCCTAAAATGCCTACTCGCGTACATCATTATAGATCTGCCTGCTCAAATGATCCCTGAACTGAGTCCTTTGGGAAACAAAAAAAACTGCACAACGTGATACTTGGAGGAGAAAACAAGAAAAAGTTGCCCAACAAGGGGCACTGAAATAATTTTACAGCATGACAAAAGAGGAAACTACATTAACAGCCAGAAAAAAAAGAGAAAAGCAACAACAGAACCACACAACTTATATCAATAGCTTTAGGAATTAATATTCTTAAGGCGAAACAAAGAGTGAAAGAGGTAAAATGTAATTGTTTTTTCTCCACCTATATGCTACAAAAGTATGTTGTTTTACCCTCCTTCCACGTTGTGTCGGGTTTCACATCAACAAATTCAATATACGCAGTTTAACATTTCTGTTTCCATTAAAACTGACCGGTTGTTTGTTACATGTGAATCATCATACTTTACACATCTTTGCGAGCATCACACTATATCCTATAATTAACTTCGTACAAAGTCACTTCGTAGGCATGAAGTTAAGCTCTCATATTTAAATTTTCAAGATTAGACCAGTCTGTATGAATAGCTTCTGATATTGGTAACAGCAGGAGGCTAGTCAACTTGGGAACAAGAGCAAATAGTAAGCGATAAAAGTTGAGGGTTTGGTACTGAAGTTATCTTTTTAAACTTAAATATCGTGATGTATCACTCAACTAAAAAAAATAAAAAGTGAGCCTAGACAAAAGTTATGTTTCTTCCTACGTTTCTCCACATTTAAAACAAGTTATCTTTATTCTCGTGAACCAAAGAAAAACATCGGATTTCTTCCGAGCACGTAGAGGAAAGGAGGAAGGGAAACAGGTTAGTTTGCATTCCTTATGTCCTGTTAAATGTTTTATGGGGGGGGGGGGGGAATTATCTTTTTAACATTGGATCTACGCCACTCGAGAGAAAAAAATACTTTTCGGTTAATCTATCAGAAGAACTTGCCGAAGTCCGTATACAGACTGTAAAAATAATAATAATAATAATGGAGTTACTGGTGATTCTAAAACATGTTAAAGGCTATTGACACTTGCAAGTATTAACCCTGCAATTGAGCCAGTGGGTGATCAGTGGAGATTGTTTTACAGAAGGTAATTTATTGTGAGGTTATTGTTATAATTATTATCATTGATAACATCATAATCATTTCTATTCCTGTCAGTGTGTATGGTCTTATGAAGACTGACGTCCAGTGCCACAGTGCTTGTCACTAACTCGGCCAGTTTCAGTTACAGGCTACGGCTCTCCCCAGCAACTCTTGCATGTTGTGTGGGGGTCGGGAGGGGACAAGAGAGTAGGTGCTAATTAATTAATTAGGAGAATAATTGTGTATTTTTGGGGAAGTCACTATTATGAAGCCTCAAAGATTTTTATTATTGTATTTTTTTTAAGATGAGGAACGGTCAGTCACATAAATTATGTATGCACTTTGTTATTTTTAAATAACACAGTCATCACCCTTTGTGACTAACGTGAAGTGTCATAAAATGAAACTCACGTTTTTAAACTCTGCTTGAACTAAGTGATTTTAACGTAATGATTTAAATAGGATCACACTGTTGCGTGTCTACTAGCATGCTGGATTTCAAAATCCCCACCAACCTGGGCCTTTTAAAGGGACGTCTTTTACTTTGTAGACCACCGGGCTGTTTGTCCATTCAGTGGTGTTCAATTGTATCCACTATAAAATAACTTAAAAGAAAACACCACACCTCTGTGGAGGTCAATTTTAAAAGACGTATTCATTTCAAATAAATACGTTCTTCCTCCCAACAAAGTTACAATATTTATAGTTTTCATTGTCACAACCTGATGACACGTACCATCCTCAGATCCAGTTATGCTTCTCGGTACAAGTCTGTTTTTTCCCCTCAGATTCATATAGAAGTTAAGTACGTCTCTATTTATATTTCCCTGGGCATGAGCTGATGTTAGGGTGTGTGTAAACTTCAGTAATGCTCATCATACTTTTCAATTGTGTAGAGTGTTAGGGTCTAATACTGTATATAGCACTGTGTGTTTGTGTGTGTGACTGTGTGCTTGTGTGTGTGATTGGATACACCCAAAGATAAGTTAATATTACGATGGAAGTCGTATTTATTTCTGGCCTAGCGCTCCTTACCTCTTGTTTAATAAATAGCAACAAATTGATTATTCATACAATGATTATGCTAAGAAAAAGTATTAAAGCTGTTCGTGGGTTAATTAAAAATATACATTTCTGTTTGAAATAAAATAATTGATCAAGAAAGTAAACAAGCAGACATCAGCATAACGTTAACAGGTTTCCATACGTAGTCAGTCACAGTGTGGAATGGTGTTTTGCCTTTCTTAAAAAAAGGCTTGTTTTTGCTTTCGCGGTAAATATAGTATCATTAGCTTGTTATCATTTTACTCTTCTGAACAGTACCTCAATTGAGTTTCAATCTGTTTTGTCTTTTGCAGGAGAGGGGGGTGTTACGTGGCTAGGTTGATGTGACAATACAAAAATGCATCAGGGCTGGAAAATTGAGGAGTAAATACCTGACCATTTGATCTGACGTTATTTTTGCACAGGGAAAAAAATGTTTTGTATTTCTAATCAATTAGCATGTTTACCCCGTTATACCCCTCTTCACACACGGCTGACTGCTGTTCTGTTTGAACGTCAGCTTTTGAGAGTCAGCTGCGCAAGTTTTCCAGAACCTAAGTGTGGAAGATTCTAAGAAATGAAACTCGATTAAATAGATTAAATAATCACATCAGAAAAGGAGAGAAAGAAAGACACGTGTAGGTATAGAAAATGTGCCTACAGACCTGCGTGAGGGGGAGATGCCGTAGTGTAGTGAAATATAGTGTGTGTCAGACAGTGGCCACACAGCAGGTGACTGCGCTGTCTGCTTCGTACGACATTATTAAGAGGAACTGCTTCTTTGCCTTGTTGAGCATTTATTTTAGATCAAATTGTCAATGTTGTGTGCATATGAATGTATGGAGATTAACGGCTCGTGTCGAATTGTTTATTCTTATGTATATATTTTTGCTGGGCTAACATAGTTGTTGGATTGTCGTGCCTCAAACTTTAACCGTGTTATTTTTGCTGTGCTGTGTTTTCTAAAGTGAGTCTTAGCACTCTCACCCCGGCTATCTCCTGTATTCCCATGTGCAACTGAAACATCCCGTCAGCGTGGGGTCACCTGTGTATGTGTCTATTAGTTTTATTATTGTTGTTGTGGTGATGGTTGCTTTTTAAATTCTGACACATTTTATTTTTCTTAGGAAAGTACGGGATTTACGTCTTTTCTTTTGACAATTTGGAAACATAATTTTCAAAGGAGGATACAAAGTGGACTCTTAAGAAACTTGGGAACTTAAAAAAACAAGCAGTTGGGCGGATACGGATACTGGGAGGGGAAAAGGTAGAGTGGTTCGTTTTTGGGAATTTGGAAAAATTGGAAATCTGAGGGGTTTTACAATAATAACAACACGAAGGGGTTAAAAAATCCAAGAAGCCAGCGAAGCGATCACTCTTCGGTTTCACGTTCGAGTCGGCGAATGCGCCCTCCGCAAATGCTTTTTGGGGTAAGGGCTTCCCGGCTTGATAGTTATAAACAGCAAGCCCAGACCGCAAAAAGATTCGCGAAGGACATTGACATTCCTTATCCAGTCAACCCCCACAAAACATCCAGAGGGCACGGGAGTCCCGAATTCTTCCAAACGCCCCAGACTTCATTCTGTCCAGCAAACGGCAAGTGAGATGTTGGAGCCTTTTTTTGCGCTCAAGTCTTTCTCCAACTCAGCGCGGTCTACTAGATACAGGGGTTTTCCAAAAAGGCCATATCCGAGTCCCGGTAACTAAGCGCTGGTGTCCACGGTGTTTTACTCCTTCGCGTTAGTTTCTTTCATTTTGTTACGGACGACGATGCGGCCGTTTTAAAAGTGCTTGACTTTTTTTTAACAGTGATGTTTTTAAAAAATGAACACCGCTGTTCTAGTTGATCTCAGTATTACATCCTCTTGATGTGTCGCTGGAGGCTGCAGGAGCTGCTGCTGCAGCCCTGCGAGCTCTGCGTGAAGAGACGCGCCCCCCCTTCCACACTGAATAAATAGAGACCAGCACGGCGTCTCATTGGTTCACACAAAAAATCGTCACCCACCAATCAGGGCCCTTCTCACATCAGGACCCCCCTTTTTGAAAAAAAAAACACTAAATTGTATCCCACAATTTGCGATACTGATTATATGAAAAAAGATAAAATTATTTACGGTTGACCAATTGATTTCTCTTACTTTTATCCCCACCAATAAGACCACGAGAGACTGTGCAGATTATTCTACATCGCCATGCAAATCATCTTGTGAAAGCCATACCATTTACATCAGTCTTCCAACACAACAAAAAAAAACAGTAATAATAGACATACAGAAGGATACAGAGCTCATAAACCAAGAGATTACTTTACAACGACCTTAAAACACTCACAAGGAATGTATAGCAACGTTACGCACAGCTCAGACACAAATATAAACTACATCAGAAGCATCTCAGTCAAAAGTCCAAAATCCCTGTCCAAGATTCATTAAGAACAAGAGACTGGTAATACAGGACAATGCAACAGTTCATTAAAAAAAAAACTATAATATGATATAAAGAGATGCAATGTGACTACATTAGGTACAAGGGTTTGCATTTATCACTATAAACAGATGTTATTGTTTTTGTTTTGTTTTCCATAACAATAACAATAAGGAAATATACAATGTAAATTTTGGGATACTGATAACCTAGAAGCAAATCCAAACTTCGAAAATGCAACCATTCAACGTCAATGAACTCCTTCAAAAGTGCACCCCACGTCCAAGTTGGCGCAGAACAATTAATACGCGTCTTCCAAATGAGTCAAAGGGTTTTATTTAAATCCCACTTACCATTTTGATCCATTTCCTAGTCCTTTTCCTTGCAAGGCCATGCTATAGTTTTGTGTTTTCTTTTAGTCAGAAAACATTACAAAGCCCGGTATCCCTTTCTCTGGAATTGTATATAAGTTACTGTACTGAGTGGGAGGGTCACGATCTTGGTAATTCTGTATTTCTGGATCACCCAACTCCCCTTCTACAACTTGGTGCAAGGGCAGTAGAGGAAAAAAAAGATCCAGCCCCGATACCACCCTGGTGTTGTTTTGATTGGGTGGTCTTTTCATTTACGGACGTCTCAAGTAAGTCACGATTTCCCCTCTGTTTCGAATGTACAGTGACTGGAGCCCCTGATGCAGCAGCCAACGCGCATTACTCACTCTCGCAGTCACGACTTGGAAATCCGCGCTGTTTCCACTAAAATTACACCGCCAGCATTGAATTATTTAAGAGGATCCTGCCCTGTCTGGATTATGCGTTTTGGCAGAATGGCAAGGAGTTTATGAGAGGTGAAAACAGATAAAAATGTATTTTCGCAGTCAACACACAAAAATGCACGCACCGACAACACCACTGGGACACACAAAAGGCATAGACAACGATTGTGACAACTGTTGTGATTTGCGAACGTGGAAAAATAGCGACAGCAACAGATTCCCACCCTTGTCTTAATTTGACGAGGCTGTATATACGACCAAGAAGCACGGGATTAAAGACAAGCAAATATCACGGGGGGAAATGGTCATTTTTACATTGCAAAATGCAAATACATAAAGCAAATTTTTTCTCCATTTAGCAGAACAAAAACGATCACACTGCATTACAGATTGAATTTGATTTCTAAGACCAATATCGATATAGATGTTTCCGTTTCTTTTAAAATCCTGCTGTTTCACAGCCCCTGCTTTTTAATGCAGTAGCTGTTATAGTATAAATGCTGAGATGTGGAACTAGCTCACGGATGTGATTTGCCTGCGTGTGTTGTTTTACATTGCTGTACTCTTCAGTATAAAGTTACCAGTTCACACAGTGCACAAAACACTAATAATAAAGAGGTCTACAGACCGGTTGAATTTGTTCTTTCTCCCGCGAACATTGTGCAATTACTTTTCTTGCTTAATGATTATATATTTTATATATATATATACTTTCAAAGAAATGCAGTTGTTTCTCGCTCATCGGGGAAATTGTCCTTGGTTTAAGGAAGACCATAGGGTCATTCTTAGTGTAGCACTATCGATTTAACACAGCAAATTCCATAGCTACAACAACAGCATCGCTGAATGAAAGGGACAGACGGCAGTTTAACCTCGCCACCAACTCAGGCAGTAAGGCTATGACTAAGAATTTCAAACGAAAGGGATATAAAATGCTGTGGTATGCCAAAGATTGGAGTACTTACAGAAAACAAAAAATGATGACGTGGGTGGGAGATTAATCCGAATAGTGCTGCCTATAGCCTCCTGTTTTTGAAAATCAACATCACCAGGCAGAATCTCTTCAAAAAGACGCAAGCGGGAAGAATCTGCAAAGCAGACTTTTAAGCGTAAAATAAGCCTACTTTTAATTTGTAGACACAGTTTAACAGCCGTTAATAGGGAGTTTCTAATACTGTGCCGCTGGATAGCTCCTCTGGTGACAGTCTATTGAATTGCAGCCTTGGAATTTCACCGAAGTGGAATTTGATAGTTTCCAAACGCGTTGTTCTGCGGGGACTACGCGGAATCACTACCCGCCGTTTGTTATTTTCAGCACCTCCACTCTGGACAGCTCTCGGGTCCCCCTTGATCCGAAGCTGGCGTGTTCCCTCTTTTCCGACAGCGCTTTGCGTGTTATGTTACTGTTCCGTTTCGGACTGAAAAGGTCGAGTGCTCTTTTGCGCCCATCAGAGGGGTTTCCATGAGGAAGCTTTAAAATTCTTGCGGGGGAAAAAAAAATGTGAAAAGGGACTCAACAGCGCCGACAGACAAAGGAGTTTGCAGCCGCTATTGATTCACGGATTTACCGTCATGGTGATTCCCCATCTGCAAGAAAGGCTGGTTTGATTTTATACACATGCATAAAAACAGCCGCCCCAATAAAGACATGCATAACACGACAACACACACACTGGTAAAGGAAGGAGACGGAGAGAGCATGCAGAACGCTAAGCACTCAAATTATTTCCTAGGAACCTTGCACGTGCACGGATTACTTACCGGTGTGAGAAGACGAGCTGCAAACAGGAAAACACAAGAAATAATAAACTCATATATGTATGCGAACGCATGTCTGCATGTGTATGAAAATATGAGTGTGTGAAAAGTAAGCAATTCATCCCCTGTTACTGTTGCAAACATCGCATGCCTGTCCAAGTTTTCTTAGAGTCGCGCTCCTTTTATACAAGTGCAACCCTCTATCTATTTCTGGACCACGATCAAATCCTGGTGCTATTTTTAGTACGCAGGGAAAAAAAAACACTCACAAAGGCATCTCGCAGGAACGTTACGTGAAAAGCATTAAATGTACATTAATTTTCCTTCTCGAACTGCACTACAGCATCTGACTTCCCTTCGTTGCATCATTGCAGAGATTTTTTTTAAACCGAACGCCTTCTATTTTCTCTCACTCTGGGTCTCGTTTCTCAAGCCAGACTACTTGACTTCAGTGATCTCGTCCTCTCTCTTTTTTGCCGGTTTAAGTCTGGATGCTGTCCCGTCCGAAATCATACCGCGAAACGATTAAACAGTTGCCGCTTCAGTGAGCATAAGACCGGTATGGGAGAAAGAGAATAAGGGAGCCTTTGTTGTGCTGGTTTGCAAGGAACACGTTAAAACAACAATAGACATTCCCACGCAAAACCCTTTATTTGTATTTTTCAACAATACATTTATCTAGAAATGTCATTTCAAATCGTACGGTTACGTGTCCGTTTATATTATGCATTTTATGGCGTGATACATTTAGCTTACAGAAGATTCAGTAAAATGCAATAATTAAAGCTTGCTGCCTAGGAAAAAAAAATCTTTTTCTGCTCAGGGCTGCGTCAGTTACTAGGCATTGACGTCACGTTTAGATTCTCCCACTTTACAGCCTATAGTTGATCATAAAAGACGTCTCTACTGGACTCGCTGCTTTTCCAGCTGTTATGAAATTTGCCCCCCAAAACACTGCAGGTGAAACGAGAAGACAAGGGTCGTTACATACTGACATGTTGTTCCACTGCGTAATTATAAAAATTAAGACGATGCGTTTATTTTCTAATTTATGAATGCAACGTTTATTCCCCCAAGCCTTATACAGCTGAAAGAACGCGAGATCACATCCCTCTGTTTTCTCTCTGTCTGGGCAGCTGTTCTCTGCACGAAGGCAAAGCGGTATTGATAAACCTTAGGGCTCATTCTGTATATTTGTCAGGCAAAGAGTCTCGTTTCCCGAAGTGACAATAACAGAAGAAGCTATTGCACGGGCTTTTCTGCTGCCTGTGCCCACGCACGAGCCGCGCTCTCCCACGGAATCGACTCAGAAGAGCTTCCCACAGAGTATCCATATTGCATCGGAGATAGAAACAGCAACAACAACAACAACAACAACAACAATAATAATAATAATAATAATAATAATAATAATAATAATAATAATAATAATAATAATAAGCAATTTGGATATCACTATTTGTATCTTACGGGTGATTACATAGAAAATGGCCAAATACCACACAAGAACTATGTACGAAACCTGAGTGAAGATTCTCCTTTTTTCAAATATAGTCTGTATTTCTACACTATTTGCATTCTTCGAGTCGTCCTCGGCAGTCACGAGCAGTGTGATTACAGTACTTTATTTAGAAAGCACGATTTCTCTGCACACAGGGGAAAACGTTTTCTTGAAATAGACGTTTTAGAAAAAGGGCAGCGCCTGTCGCAATAGGTTGTTGCTATTTTTAACCTACAGTATATGCACGACTGTTTTATATGCCCAGCTCTGCAGGCTGAACAATGCTGAATGAATGCACACAGAGAAGGAAAATCAGAAATGCTAGTGAGCATAGTTTGAAAGAAGAATAACATCAGATTGCTACACTGCTGTTAATCATTATGAATATAAAACACGTGTCTAATGTTTGAAAAATCTTCGTCGGTGTTTTACTTTGATTGTATTAGTAGAAAGAAGTATAACCCAAGACAACTCAATTAATGTATTTATATATTATTGTGGATATATCGAGATAAATTGCCAGTTGCTAAATACTGTATTTGACCAGTTTTATGGAGCGTGCAAATCTAACAAGGCGTTGTCTCAAACGGGCAGCCGCTTATACCAATGTTGTTTTCCCCCAAAAATATCTTATTTGATACCTTCACGAAACCTCTAATGAGGAGCAACAGATGAATAGACTTCACGGTCGGCTGTGTTAAGAACAGGGTATGTGTGCATTTGACGTCCTTCTGTCTGGGTCCGCGTGTCATTAACACTGCAGTGGCGAACCTTTCAGTCAGAACAGCGGTAACAAATATCAATGAGGGGCGCCTACGGTACTTGCAATGAGGGTAATTCATCGCATGGGGTCGCCAGATGCAGCTGGAGACTCAGTGAAAATCCCCAACAGCTTCTATGAGTTTCAATGGAGCTTTCTTTGGATTAATGAAAATGTCAGCAGGAGCATTCTTTTTAAAGAGGCAGTATCTCCCATTCACACGGAAACCGTACTCCAGTTTTCACAATGAAACTGGGTATTTTCTGAGCGTGCGGCGGTCGCGTTTGGATCAGCACACAGTTCCAAATGCAAAAGGGTTTTTTCAGAAGGGCAAGACATCGCTTTATCTTAGGGGGTTTACAGGAGATTCGACACGTCACATTGCATATTTCTTTCAGAAAATCTTGCTGCTAGATCATCCCATCGCGTCAGTCGTGCCAGTTCTCGTCTGCGAGATATCGGCAAGAGAAAGCTAAAAATAAACTGGGAGATATTCCTTATCCAATTTTAGTTGTCACGATCACACAATGGAAACGAAACCACACCACTGTAATTTGACTTGTTTACATCATTAATATTTTCATTGAATCCGCGAAGGTGCCAAAATAAAAAAAAATAAAAGCACATTACACGTCAAAATAATAATAAAACATAATACACTTCATGTTCTTAAAAATCGCTTTCATAAAATCATCAGTCTGTATCTGTATCAGTCTTGCCCAGAGCATCATATACAGGATACACCATATAATCTCATAGTGTATCTTATGTCTATAAACCATTAAACCTTTAAATATATTGAAAGTAAAGTGACAACGTCACGTCCATAAAATAAAACTCAAGTCTTTCCCAGCACTTCCCGCGCGCTGAACCTATTAACAACATTTAAAAACTCGACTTCAGAAGGTTTCTTTCAATACTGTTGTATTGATCAAAACTGGAAGGTGATATTTTACATCTTTTACAAATTAAAGATGGCGTTTTAAGCATAAGAGTATTATTGAAAAAGGCCCAACGTGGAGATCAGTCTGCATGAAAGAAGAGTCATTTCTTCGTTTCTCTCCAGTGAAACCTGACATTCGACCTTAGAGAAAACCCTATAAACACTCGTAGGACTCCCAGGGTTATACATTAATCGTACATATGTGACCTAATGTAATCAAATCTCAAATGAGCTTTAATGGGGCACAGAATAGAATCCATTCCTATTAAAAGGAGGTTGTTTGGATCTCCAATGGGTGTGTTTCCTTGAAAACGGTGCTTCAGAGTGAAGAACCCAGTACATTGTCTGAAGTCGCATTACCGAGTATGCTTTCGACAGATATGCAATTCTTTTTACAAAAATCAAAGAATTAAATGACCCTCATTCCAGTTGCTCGGGTTTCTTCTTTTTATAAGTAACCCTCTTGTAAAATGAGGTGGGTTTTCCTGTGCTTTTGTGTAATTGTGGTCAAAAGACAGCAAAACCCCCCAAACTGACTCAGAAGCCATTTCTTTGTCGAAAACCAGGCGTTATACAGGATGCGCAAATCGACAGGCGTGGGACTCCGGGTGAATTAATGGACGTCAGGAACAGAAGCCCTTGCCCGGGCTTCACTCCGAGTTTACGTTATTACGTACTAGGCGTTGTAATGTACTGTGTGTAGCTTACTTTACAGTCATTCACTCACTAAGCCCAGCTAGCCTTACATTAGTAGCACACCCCTCATTACTGCTGCTGTCAATGTATCTCCTTCTCATTATTATACAGGTTTGGAAGCTTAGATGTATAATAATCTTCTATTAAAAACGACATTTAGTGCAATTTTGAATCATTGTGCCCATTTCGGCTTTTGTACAATTGATTTGTTTTATCCTTATTCGACAACGTTTTCCGATAACCACAATAACATAGATGTTGTATTGCCCCATTGAAGCTCCTTCTTTCAGTACTCGATATCAAACATTACGTGTTCAGCTTATTTGTTCTTTTTTTGTGGACATTCTGTTTTCCATTTGTGTGGGGGATCTGTTTGTTCCCAAGAGCGCATATCAGGTGGTTTGACAGACAAACGTAAAACCCAAATACAATTTCCTCGTTGTGTGATGAGATTAAAAAAATGGAATTCGTTCTCCTGTACAAGGTTGTTTCTTTTTCCAATGGCAAATACCCCGCGAGGTTAGACTGAAGTCCACCACCTACTCTCCCATTCATATTTCCTGCTAAAACCCGAACGCCTTTGAATGCATGAAAACAAACTGAAGGCTAGTGGGAAAACGTCATGATCAGAACGGGATATTTCTTCTGAATTTGAGCGCTAAAGAGGAGTTAGTGCACAGAGAAGAGATGAACGGCATACCCGCCGGCTTCCTCCCACCAGGGTAATTGAGCTTGAGGGTAATACACCCTGAGATTGGGAACAACAGCAACAACAACATTCACTTTAGAAACGGAGAATTCTGGCCACTTTTAAAATAAAGTCTTGCTGATATATATCGTACACACCTGGATCAAAGAGAGGAAAGGAGTGGATCATTTACCGTTTTCCGAGCAGAAGCGCAGAGTTACTATGTTTCCTGTGCGGATGATAAAATAAACCTGAGCTGACTGGCGTATGACACAGGACCCGAAGTGGTCAACATTTATCTGGTGTGCAGTACTACAGTTCAGGCAGGAGACCTGGAATGATGTCATGAATGTTGGAGGCAGCAAAGACATTCATATGTAGGGATGATCTATTAACATTAAACAATCCAATTGATCAATAAAGGATCCATATCATGTCCTGTTCTGTCTTGTGCTTTTACATTCTAACTTTGGTAAAAACCTTTGAATGAGTCTTGGTGATTTGATGTCCCAGAGTTGGTATGGTGGTGCAGTGGTGGCAGCCTTGCAGAGCCTGGGCCCTGGGTTGAGTGGAGTTTGTTTGTTCTTCCTGCGTTCATGAGACCGTGGTTTCCTCCTACGGTCCAAAGGCATGCTGATAGGTTAATTGGCTTTTGAGAAGGTTGGTCCTGGAGTGAGTGTGCGTGTCTGTGTGTGTACTGTGATGGACTGGCGTCCTGTCCAGGGTGTGTCCAGCCTTTCACCCCTTTGCCTGTCTGGACAGGCTCCAGCCTCTGTGAGACACAGTATTGGATAAAGCCACTAGAAAATCGATGGGTGGCTTTGAGGTCCCAAATATCTAACTGTGCCTTGTAGCCCTTATTCATCCTAATTAAACTAGAATGTTGAGTATATATTATGTATAAATGAATGGAAAGGACCTCAGAAAAAGGGAGGTTAAAAGATTGATATATACTATTGAGTATGACAACACACTAATGCCTGACACTTTGTGTGTGCATTGACTGGGAGGAGAGAT